AAATCTCGTTTGTGTGGAAAACAATTGTATTATTAATTTTGAACGATATTCTTCTTTTATTAAGTTAAAACGAATAGGTGCGTACAAACTTCGTTTTATAAAAAAAACGCACAGATTAAGTCAGAGCGTAAACAACATCGCCATACCAGTTCCTTGAGTATTAGTGAATTGAATGCGTCACAACATATGTCAGTTAGGTTCGCACAAATGCAATCGTTTCCGGACGTGTATAATAATTTAGTGAATAACATTAAGTTCAAAACAAATAGTAAACAGTATAATCGTATATCCGGATTAAATGTATTTTTAGACGATAATAAAATAATTAGAGTTGGTGGAAGACTGTGTAATTCTACTTTTTTCAATTTTGATAAAAACATCCTATTTTAATATGTAGTAAGCATATCTATACAGTGTTATTGTGTAGGTACGAACACATGAGGCTGCTTCACGCGGGTCCACAGCTACTTTTAGCGACCATACGTGAGAGCTGGTGGCCATTAGGAGGTAAAAACCTCGTTCGAAAGCTAGTGCGCGACTGTTTTGTGTGTACTCGTATAAGAGGTAAGACTTTGTGTCCTATTGTGGGTAATTTGCCATCCGAACGTTTAGAACCTGGGTTCCCATTCATAAGAACAGGCGTTGATTATGCCGGACCAGTTTTCATATTAAATCGTAAGGGCCGGGGATCTAGACTTATTAAAGCGTATATTTGTTTGTTTGTATGTTTTACTACATGCGCTATGCACTTGGAACTTGTCACTGGTCTCTCAACTAATGATTATATTTTAGCTTTAAAACGTTTTATGAGTCGAAGAGGTAAACCAGAAATTATATTTTCCGATAACGGGAAAAATTTTGTAGGTGCCGAAAAGGAAATTTCTTCATTTTTAACTTGTAATTCAAAACAAATTATCGAATTTGCTGCTAATGATAGCATTAATTTTAAATTTATTCCCCCATACTCACCACACTTTGGAGGCCTATGGGAAAGTGAGGTAAGATCGTGTAAGTACCACCTTAGACGTATAGTAGGTAATGCTAGATTGACTTATGAGGAGTTTAGCACGGCTTTAACACAAATTGAAGCAGTCCTGAATTCCCGTCCTATGTCACCTTTGTCCGCAGACCCTACAGACCTTACACCTCTCACGCCTGCACATTTCCTGATCGGAAGGCCGTTAACTGCTACTGCATGCGAGGATCTTACAACGAAACCAATACCCGCGTTGACACGCTATAATAGAGTTAAACAATTACGTCAACATTTCTGGTAACGTTGGTCAAAGGAATATGTTGCAGAACTCCAACTGAGAAGGAAATGGAAAAAGCAAAAGGATGACATCCCATTAAATTCTTTGGTACTGATCAAAGATGATAATTTACCACCGCTCAAGTGAAAATTGGGAAGAGTCATACAAATCTTCCCTGGTAAAGATGGCGTGTCTCGAGTCGCTGATATTCGCACCTCCAGCGGAATCGTTCGTCGTGCCTTCTCGAAAATCTGCCCCCTGCCGCAGCAACCATCTAATCAAGAAGCGGAACATCAAGTTGGAAGCTGAAGCTTCCAAGTCCGTGAGCATGTTACGACTACTAACGCCACCTACGAGAGCGAACGCCCTCTGATGTCGTATCGTATAAAACGCGAGTAGGAAGCTCTTGAAAGAAGCCTCAGGAGAAGCGTTCATTAATATTCTAAACGTCTAGCAAGCAACACAAATTTTGTCAACCACATATTATATTATTTCAAATTGTAATTTTAAATAAATATTTTTATTTAAAGACAAAATAAACGATTCATTTGAACCGGGAACCTGAAACTCGCACCACAATCCATTTCTATTTATTCGTATAGATGTATAGATATGATGATTATTTTAATGATAATAATGTTTAGACAAAACGATCACTTTTATATTGTGTGTAGGCTAAATTGTAACTCTTGAGAGAAAAATAATGTAATTGTGAAGTCCTTGCTGCCTCTGAAAAGGTCACTCGCATTATATTCTTTAAGCGATGGCGTATTTTATTTATATCCTGTTTGGATATGATTCGTAAAGGTCAATATAAAATAAAATTAATGACTTTGACTAGACTTCAATTTTGTTAAAAAAAATCTTACGTCTATTGAAACAATATAATAGCGTTTACTTTCGACGGTAAACAAGTAGTTTGTACATTATCGAAGCGAGAAAGACTACAGATCGAATACATGAATGAAAGAATAAATTAACGAATTAATGAAATTAATGTAATTGAACGAATGGGAGGAAAACCGGCGACGAGGTTCGCCACCCGTCACGTTCTGTCTCCTGGAGAGGCGAAAAGTGGATTGCAGAAGCTCGTCTGGCTACGTTGAATGTATGTAGGGCAATGAATGATAAAATGCATGAAGTATGCGATATGATGTATGAATGATGTGTTATGTGTAAATGAGACGAAAAGGAATGGGGAGGATGTCACTACACATGGCATGTATACCGCATACTAGTCTGGTGTAGACGAGATCGAGCGGGCATGCCAGGGAGTTGGTATCATCCTTTCAGAAAGAATGGCCCAATGTGTAAAAGAGTATGAATGTGTAAGCCCAAGACTGCTATGGATACGAATGAAAGTGGGCTTAAAGAAGTTGTTTGTGTTAGGGGTCTACGCCCCAGACATGTCTAACCCCACTTATATCCGAAAGAAGTTTTGGGAAATGGTAAGGATGGTGTTAATGAAGTGTAAGCGAAATGAAAATATTATTATGCTAGGAGATTTTAATGGAAGGGTTGGTGTGAGGAGGCTTGGTTATGAAAGGATATTGGGAACGTTTAGTGATGAAAGTATAAATGAGAATGGTGAAAGTCTCCTTACCGTATGTATGGAAAATAATTTTTTTGTGATGAACACTTGCTTTCGCCACAAGAGGATTCACATATATACTTGGGAAAGAAGTGACGATAGAAGCATGATAGATTTCATAATTGTGGATGGAAGATTGAGGGGCGCAGTGCATTTTACAGTACGCGAGCAACCCGGGTTAAGGTGATACCTCGAAAATTTTGTGGTTTTTCTATTTAACATAGTTTTTTAAGTTTTATAGATTACAAACCAACATTTTGGTATATGATTTTTGACTATATGACCTTGGTTTTCATACAAACAACGAAAACACAATATCATGTAATTTTCTAGATAGAAAAAAATTGCAAAGTAATTTCCAGTAAATAATCATATCTAAGCTCTGATAAACCAGTTTTTTAATACATAACGAAGTTTTGTTAAAATAAATAAAAATGTTGTTTGGCGCTTACGTATTTTTTCCGAGTTCTTGCTCGGTATGGCTATCTCATAATTTGCGTACTATGAAGTCATTGCATCACTTTCATTTTGACACTCCCTCCGTCGTCCGTTAGCTTCACCGATAAAGGAATAAGCCACGCCCCCAAAACTTCGATTTATTTTCGAGGTATCCTCTTAAATCTCTACCGGTACTAATGAAATGACTAATTGCAATTTTTTAAGAGCTGATTTACCACGTGCTCGGCGGTGAATGAAAACATTGTGAGGGAACCTGAATGTCTGGTAAAAAAAATATTTCAAGGAGATGTGAAGTTCGCCAACATGCATTAGGGCAACGCGGCGGACATTTTCTTGTTCTAAAACCCTCTCAGAAATGAAAGAACTTTGCCCAGCAATGGTACGTATATAGGCTGTAAATTTAACTTTAAGGTTGACTGGGTGAATTCTGCGTTTCGTGGAAGAATCAAGCCGTAGTAGCGATCGATATAGGATCCGATCTCTGCAAGTTTGCAAATTCTACATACTCTAGGTTCCTCCAAAATACAGAGACATTCATAAATTTCTAGTGACCCGATCATTCAAAAGCACTGTACTGTAGTAGTACTGTGTAATATTTGAGACCCGCTTGATAATGACAGTCGTCAGACATTACCATATTCCTTGGGCATAGATACTATTAATTGTTTGATCCGGAACGTTCAAAAATGTTATTGCAATCATCAATACGTTGACGCGATCCGGGTGAAATGAACGAATCATTTATGATTGACACATGTTTACAGAGAAATTTCTTTCGGACTATCTGAAAAGTCCATTCCATTCGCCAAAAAAGAAATTTTCCTAAATAGTATTGTTTATTTTTTGAAGTCAAAACTTTAGAAACGGGATTAGAAACTCATTGAAACTAAAAAGCGACATTAAGGTGAGACAAACATATACATCTATAGAATTTAGCCTACGAGAGAATGAGATAGAGTACAATATGCAGTACAAGCAATTGTACTCGCAATTTTCTAAAGGTTTCACTTCTACCGCGTACTGCACATCTTTCTTTTTTTGTTCACGTAGTAGTCGTGCTGCAGTTATATTAGTAGTATTCGTTGCAGTACGAATGGGTCGGCTCGACCGGGGAAGGTCCACGCTTGCACAGAATACCAGCGTAAAATAGCAGCTCAATGCAGTTGTTTTTCGTATGGTGCGTGTAGAGAACCGGAGACCTTTCTTACTGGAAACGAGGCATTCCATCTAAGTCCTCAGGAGTGCATTCTGATTAGTAATCGAGGATAGATGTAGATATCTATGGGCCACGGCAGCCACTCATCATCAGGTGGACTGTGCGCTCGTTTGTCACACTTATCCGATAAAAAAACATATGTTACCGTTAAGGTTACATCCTGTTACAGTCCACTAGTGAACACCGGCCTGCCCCATAGATTGTCTTATCGGAGGGATATTTGGCACAGTTGCGACGGTTGGCAAGCGGGTTGGCAACAGCAGTCTCGTCATTAGGAAGACACTATTGCCCATCTCCTGATCCGTCTCCCTCTGTCGCCTCTTACAACGCGGTGGTTGGTGTGTTTATTTGTAGTTGAATGCAGGCATACGTCGCTATATGGGCAAATGTACTTAATTTTTAAGTCCTTGATGAGTGAAATAAAGATATTGTAATGTGTTGTATTGTATTGTAATGATTGGATGAATGTTTGCGCACGCACCCTCTGGACGCCAGGCGAGCTGTTGGCGCTGTCCAGCTCGGCGGGCCCGGCCGCGATGTCGGCCAGGCTGTCCCGCCCCTGGGCCGCACCTGAAACACATAACGCGTCTTCAATATCCAGGACCGGAGGTCATAGTGTTTTTTCCCGATACAGAACTGTCTGTCATTTTTGCGGGGGAAATCTGCGCACACCAAAATAATCGGCTATCACTACGAAACTTATACATAACAATAAACAAACAATTCCATACACACAGATACATTATAAAAGCATCGCTTGGTGAAAGTGATAATTCAGATCAGTCGATCGACCGAGCTGCACATTGTGTGAGGGCGAGCGGCCTGCACTGGTAAACAAATCCGAAACAACACTACCGTTATGATTGTAATTATTGAGTTGAAAAAGTGTAAATAGTAATAATATGATTTAAAATTCCGTATGAAAGGTTCGGAAGTTTATGTAAAGGACAATGTCCAAAATCGCCCTGTGCACTAAAAGCATCGGACATATACGATAATTAATTATATATTTTATGATATTTGTTGCAAATACTTTTATAAAACGGACTAGCTGCATGCCAAAATGAACATTAAAAAAATATTCTATTTGACTTATAACATTAATCGCCGCCATCTTTGTCAAACGTCATGTGGTGTATAAAAATTACTAGGAACGCCCAATCGATTATAATCGATCTTTTGAATTTTTAATGAACAGTTGCATATTTTTTAATCTAAATCACATTTTCAATTTATTTCGAATAAAGTGCAAATAGAAACTATAATAAAACAATCCATTTCTTTTTGTTATTCTCTAAAATGATAATTTAAAAAACCTACTACACCTAATGAATAAAGTCAAACTCGAAAATAAATAGGTAGTTAGAATAATGCTGAAGTGCAACAAAACCTAATTATTTTATCATGATCAGGTTTTCTAATGATGGTTTAGAAAATACATACGTATTTAATACATACGTATTTACTTCTAACTAATCGATCATTTACGAGTTTATGATAATTAATATTTTTAATATAAGAATTACGATAAACAATAAATCGATAGACATTATATCGATAAAATTATTCCAGGATAGACATTTACAGAACTAGTATAATTCGCCTATCTTGTCAGCACTGTTGTTCTAAAAATTAATTTCATGTCTTGATGTTGGTAGAGTAGTTTGGCGTCCTTTCATACATTTACTTTTACTAAGAGAGTTTATATTCTCTTTGTTACGAATATGCAGTGAAAAGTGTATTTTGTGTAAATTGCGGCTCTGCTAGTGGTTTTATGTTGTTGAAAGACGTTACTAAAATTGTTAAATGTAACACGATATTGTTTTTGAGTTTCTTAAAAATCACACCAAATGATAAAAGACATAATAGCGGTAATTCTATTATAACCTCAAAATATGATACTTTTCTTGAAATATATCTTTTCTGCAGCTGGTCCGCTATAAAAATAAGATCATATAGGAATTCCCCAATGATTGACGATACAACACACAATTTTCCGATGCTTTTGGTTCCAGAGCGAACAATTAATGGGCGCTGAGCAATGTCCTTTGACGTGGCAGATCTCTTTTTGCAGAAAAAAGTGGATGAATTCGGCATTATTGTAGGTCGTTGATTCTGGCGTGCAACTAGATATAGTCGAGTGAGCAGTGCGTACGCACGGGCCTCGTGCACTTAATACTTTGACAGAGGGAAACGCGTGCGTGTGGCCACTTCTCTCTGCTCCGCTAGTGGCCTGTGTTTCTGCATCGTCTTCAATGGGGGGGGGGGGTACTAATATTACGCTCACCAGCTGTTGTCACTTGGGACTGAGGTGAACTGATATGTTACGCAGCAAGCCCATTGAAAAGTTGCGGTTTAAATAGAAGTTTATTGGTTTCTAGTGTATTACATTACATACAATTTTATTATTTATTATAATAATATAAATATAAAATAATATATAGAGACGTGGTAGCTCAGATGGTTAGCGCTCGTTGTAAATTTCATAGTACGCGAGCAACCTGGGTTCGATCTCCGCTTAGTTGCAATTTTAAGTGCAGATTTACCACGTGCTCGTCGGTAAACGAAAAACATCGTGAGGAAACCTGCATGACTTAGAAAAAAAATATTTCAATGACATGTGAAATTCGCCAACACGCATTGGGCCAGCGCAATAGACACTTTCTTGCTCTAAGACCCTCTCAGAAATGAGAGAAGGTCTGTGCCCAGCAGTGGGACGTATATAGGCTGTAACTTTAACTTCTAACTTCAAAATAATATAAATATATAAAAAAATTCGTGTAACACTCGGGGACTGCCGCGGTAAAGCTATTGCATTGCATTTTTATCAACTTATGCAATTATAATTATTTATTTATTTTATTTATGCAGTATTTTTTTTTCTTTGTTAGCAAAAATGTTTGCTCCATGCGGGAATCGAACCTATATAAATAATTTTATATTATTATATTTAATATAAATTTAAAAAATGTATTTAAGATAAAGTCTGTGTTTATTAAATACTCTAAATTCACGAAAGTTGTTAGCATGACGACGACTCATATAAACCCAAAGAATATGCTTTTTGCAATAAACTATATTATTGTTTAAAATATATTTATTATCTTACAATACATGCAACTAGTTTACACGAATACGTCTAGTAGCACGCACACAAACACCGTGCCGAAGTCTGCCGAACTTAAACGACGTGAGACGATGTTAGGTTTTCGGGTCTTTGGTTTTTTTCGTTACGGAATTTCTTGATTCGGTCGCCACGCTCAGAGCCCGCGATAAAAGCTATGCAATAGCTTAAAAAACATTAATACTTAAACTTTTCTAACAAATTACATCTGGTCACAATCAGTTATTGGGCTTTTCTGTCAAGGAATTCTCAGGAACAACCCGGAGTCAGGTAGTAAAAGGTGTTTCTATGGAAAGCGTTAGTTCTGCGCTTGATCTCTCTCCGATCGTGTCGTAGTCGTGTACGAATGCGGTGCGTGTGGTGTGGTGAGTAGTTATTTGGTAGTGGTGGTGGCGACGGTACTCACCAGCCTCGACCCAGCTGTGCCGGTGCGCGAGTGCGGCGGCCGCTGCGCTGTAGGGCAGCGGCGACTGCATGCGGCTCGCGTCCAGCCCGCACGCCTTCACGCACTCGCACACCGCCATCTGCACACACACCACTATACAACACACTGTGGATAAAATAACGGCTAGTGCTAATTATACTGTTGCACGCTATAATTAATGCTTGGTACATGGCGACATTAGAACACCAGCGACCTCTAGTATCGAGTAGCAGAACTAGCAGAGTCAAGATCCTTCTAGAGATTTCCATGCCAGAACTTTCTACGCCTAGTCAGTCGGGACTGGTATGTACTCGAGTATTCTAAATGAAGAGACCTTATATAAGGCCGGTATAGACCGGAACCCGGGTCGTACAAGAGAATACTTCGAGGTGATATAACTGCGAACTAAAGTGATCAGTAGTGCAATTGTGTTCTATTATTAGTGTGTTTTATGTTGTAATTGGTGTTCGATAATTAAAGTGTCAATTTTGGTAATTCAATCAACAGTTTTATTGTCACGAACCCCAAGTTCGTAACATTACGGTAATCAAATAAATAAAAATCTGCTAAAAAACAAATTTATAAAAAACTATAATATATATCTTAGTCCTCAGAGGTAACAACGCGTCTGCATTTTGCATTTTGATTCCTAATCTATGAAAAATGTAGATGCCTATGAACCACAGCAACCACTTACCATCAGGTGGACTTGTTTGTCACCCATCCTATAAAAAATATATTATTTCTAAATCTCTCCAAGCGTTTTTCATTAATCGGGACAAACACAATTTTCATAATTTCCTGTTCTTTTGAGCATATAAGGTAATGAAACCACAACCACAGTGATCTGAACTTAGTTTTTGAATTATTTATTTGTTGATTGGCACAACATCTGGAAAAATATTGTAAATACAAGTTGCACTACACTGCAATACTTGTAGCTTCAAACAATAAAATACCAAGAATGTATGATTTGAACAAGTAACAAAATTTAAAACTGATGGAAGAAGTTTCCAGGAGTTTGATATTATAGTAGACGCATACTACAAGAGATTTATTCTATTTATTAAGCTTAACTCAAACTTCTTGCATAAAATCTTTTCAAAGGTATCATACCTCGAACATGGGGGTCTGTAAACACTGGCAACAATGAGATGTTCAAGCTCAACACATACCATTTCTACAGTTCGTTCAACAGACAGATTAACGATATCTTGACTTTCTTTACACGATATGGATTTATTAGTTAATATTAAGGAGCCAACTGGTTTTGAAAGAACTGACCAACTGGTGATTACTAAAATTAAATATGGAGTTGTTATCTTTTAACCAATGTTCAGTAATACATAAAATATGTATATTGTTAATATTAAAAAATAATTCCTATTCTAATTCATTGCCTAACATATATTGCATATTTTGATGCACCAGGTTAATATATTTTTTGTTATTGCTATTTTGTGAAATTACACAGTTAAGTATTGATGAGTTATATTTTAAGGTATTTAAATTATCTTTGCTAGAAATTAATTACCTCTGTCTTATTATCTAATTTAAATTACTTGGAATTGATACCAAATTAAGGTGAAACCTACGGACTGCTCCCAGCCATTCTCCCGCAATATGGCCCTGAAGTCAAAATTTTTAGTTTATTTGGGTTTTTGTGTAATTGGAAAATTATTAAGTCGTAGAAGCAGACTTCGCGGTTATCGGATATTACATTTTATTGAAATGGGTCATATCATTGCCTCAAAATCCACCCAATTCGACACAAAGTTTGATTATAACATCTGTCATTGAATATAGTGTCGTTTACACACACAGACGTATCCCTACGTTTACGAAGCTTGAACGCTAGATGGAGAGTATGTAAAAAAAACAAGTTTTTAATTTTTCTGTATGTATAGATTGGGTAGGCAGAACTGCAAAACGCTATGTATGATTGTTATAAAAATAAAAATTATATTTGTTGACGTAAACTATTTAATTGATTTATAACTTTGGGAAATAAATTATGTCAACATTGATTACAATATAACGCAGTTTTATTTTGTTACATTACACTATTGAATTTTTTATCAAAAGAGAAGCATAATTATGCTGATACATGCTTATTCCGTTTTGTAGCATAACTTGGGAGAGACCTATGTTCAGCAGTGGACTTGTGAAGGGTTGTAATGGTGATGGTGATGATGATGATGATGCCTATTCACTCAAAACTAATAACACTGATAATTTGTAACAGTACCAACTATTACAATAATTAGACATTTCATAACCAACACGTAAGAAACTATAATTCATAAACAAGAGATAACGACAGATCTATAACACGATTTATTTTGTGATAATAACCAGGAAGGTGAAAATAATATTTCCTAATAAAGAGGCACTCAACAAAAGCTTTTAATAAAACAAAAATATAATTATACAATATGTAACGTAATTAACGAACACCCTCAGACATCCCAAATAGTATATTATGTTATAATCATAATACATACACTGAATTTTTAGTTAAACATTTTTATGCACTGATTATTTATCAAAGTAGTTATACTAATTCCGGAAGAATGTTGTGTTCACAGTTCAAATCCACGAACGCAAAGACTTTAACGTGCTTGAAATAAAGTTCATTTTTCTTTATTTTTATTGAATGACAGAATTAGTAATAATACAAATAAAACTGCACTCTTAAAAGTCTTATTGCCTTAAGTTACGGTCCATTTCAGTTTGTTTTGACTGTACAGATTTAGTGTAACTGTAATTTACGTATTTTTAATTATTTTTGGGACAAAAATTATCTATATTAAAAATTATAGGAATCAATTCAGTAAAGAATTCTGAACAAACTACTTTCTCAGAGTGCGCTAATTACGTTAAATATTGTATATACAAATCTTCCTTCAATTCTACATGAATTGGGTTGCGTTCAGAACACAAGATCTAGAACACTAAAATGTACAAAAATTTACTTATCTTTTTATTTCAATGTTATCTTTATATTCCTGGTAGAATTGGCCGACAAATAAGAAAAATATAACTCAGATTAGAATAAGCTATTTATTTATAAGCAATAAAGCACGGAACAGAAAAAAGGATTTTATGTAACTGAATTATATTTGTTTCTGAACGCACCATAACCATGAACTTGAGCTCTACAAAATATAACAAACTAATAATGTGTGTCTGTCTGAAACTGTTTGCAAAATGCTTAAAAGGTGTTTAATGTAACCCGGCAAAACCATATTTAGCAAATGTTTGCAAGTTTAATTTTGTGACTACTTTGGTAGTTTACCGATTTATAATAATTGTATTTATCGTTGACCAAAAAAATATTCAAACACATTCATATATGAAACACTGAGTATGACATAGATAATCAGTATTGTGACGATATTTCAGAAAAATCACGGGCTAGCCTGCTGTTTGTAATACCACCGAAAACATAATTGCGTTTTTAGAATAATTAATTACTATACCTACGAGAAATTACAATATAGTTTCAAATATATACTAGAGAAATATTGCAATTCGAATCGATGAAAACACGCATACAAAATATGTATAATACACAAGAAATTCCGCGCGCAAATCATAGCGCGTGAGAACCGAAATCAGAATGTATTTTATAACAAGTCAAACAAGTGAACGAAGTTTGGCAACGCTTTTGTTCGTTAATTCAAGGTCAGGAAAGACGGCATCGTCACTCTACCTACGACTTTTGGTATTTATGTTGACAAACAACAATAATAACTAATAAAATTGTTTACAAAAAAAACTTAGGTATCTAAGGTCATTAGTTTTATGTTATTTTATACTGTTTTTTTTAACGGTTGGAAAGGAAATTAACCAATTATTGAACTTAAGATATTGATTTATCAGAATTATTTAAGATCACTTGCATACCATCTAGCGTGACAATTGTTAAGCGTCGCCTTTCATTTGCTTGTCAAAAGTCACGCACACTGAAGTGTCAAATTTTTCCGGGATTTCACTATTGTTTTTCTAAGTATATAATGTAAGTCTCTAAAGGTCAAACGCGTACACATTTCATTGTAGAGAAGTTATAAAATGATAAGTTTTAAAGAAAGAGTGTCTGTATTTAGTGTATATTTTGATTAAAAATGTATGGCCGGCGCTTCCACCTTAATTGTAAAATTATTTTGCTGCTTGATAGAAGCAGGTGTCAAGTTAGTGAAAAAATTGACTGAGCTAAAATATAAATATAAAGATAGCATTTTTGCTACCAGTATTAAAATATACATTATTAATACCTGTCTGTTCTCAAAAACTTCTTGGTTAAGTTAAATATAATAATATCAATCAAATGAAATTTGTTGTTATAATTTTTACAGTTAAATGTCCAATTTAAATTATTATTACATGTCAAAGTATTCATTAATTTAAATTATTTCTTAGTTTATTTTCCTGTTGCAACCACTGTATGTAAGCCAATGTAAACAACATAACTTTATGCAAATTTATGTTATTAAGATATTTAATATATTTTAATAATTAATTCTTGTTTATATTGCCTCTTTTACCAGCAGAAATGAAAATTACTAATTAAAATTTCATTCAAAATATCAAGGCATGCAGTACTTAGTTATCTGTTGCCCTTTTAAACGGTTATTTAATGATATTCCCAAGTTTTTGCCTATGTCATTGTTATACACATTATTTATTCATTATATGAATTACTTTTTAAATTAGTCTGCTTTGTTATGGTCTGTCATAGAGTGTAGATGAAGAAAATGTGGTATTACTGCTTGTTATATCAATAACACATATTTTATTTAGAAAAAAACTACCGTCATTATAATAATCAATGTCATGTATGATCAACATCAAACCAATATAATAGCCTAGCTTACGCGTCATTTTACTTGAACTACAATTATAAATACATAAATAACATTACAGGTACTGTATCAAACATATTTTGATAATGAAAACGAACTCACCTGATCAATCATTAGAAACGGCAGCTTCGAGGGCATCTTAGAGGGCGACAAATCGTCGTAATCTTCTAGAAGTGGCGGCAGAAGATGCGGGGCGTCCTCACGCCGAGCTTCTATTATCTAGAATGTGCATAAATATTACGATGTAATAAAAACAGTTTATTCAGTTGGCGGTGTCTCAGCCCCGTGCCTTGGAAAGCAAGGAGGCCGTTGGTGCTGCGCATGATTTGTCTCCGGTCGATTCGGATTACCGTCCAATTAGACTATGAAAGCGAATATACATTCGTGCACTATAATCATGTCTTGCGCAGATGAAAAAGAGATATGAGCAGTTGACACGCCGTAAGAGCAAAACCCTCAGAAAATTAAACTTTGAGTGAATGAGACGAGTGCAGAGCATCAGCAGTAGGATAATGAAGGCTAATAATATTCCGTTCGTCAGATGTCGCTAGTTGACACTAAGGTGAAGTTCTTTGTTATACAATGTATTCAATTGAGAAGTTAGTATTAAATAAAACTTTATCAGTTTCTAAAATATAACATTAATACACAAAACAATGCCTAATACTTTTTGCACATTTTAACTTTTTTTTACTTTAATTTTAATTTTTCCATTTTTAGGAATATTTGTGGTTTGGCTTATTTATTTTTAAGCTCATATTATAAGATATAACTAATAATATACAAAGAAATATTTTAAAATCTGTCAAATACTACCTCATTTTAAGTAGCGCCGCCCTGGTGGCAGAAAAAGTTGTGGACACCCTCATTGTAGGGTTTATTTATTATAAAATTGATACCAAGTTAAAAGATTATTTTACATTTTATTATACATACATTACATACTGATACCCGTTCACTTCGCTGGGCGCACGATAATATCGTAGAGAAAATATCACGAACTTTTTATTGGACTGTCGTAAAATTAGTTTTTTAGCGAGCATCTACATATCGAAATAAGTATACATAGTAGTTACTCATACTCAATTTCAAGTCTATCAGGGTAGATTTTTGAGATATTGTTATGAGTCAGTGAGTCAGTCAGTGGTATTTCGATTATATACTTCAACTCCAAGTTTTCAATTTTAAAAAATAACACGAGTTGCTTATGAACTAAAGTATGCAATAAATGCTTTGGTTAATATTGGTAAATACCAATAAAGATATTATAATTACTATACGACGCTTTTTATTTCGATTCGACTCGGCAATATGCAGGCGTACACAAGCACACATAATATGTACAACGTTTAGTAGACAAGATTGGAGGGGGGGGGGGGCACGCAGCACAGCACAAAAAGAAGAGATTGTAGAAAACACTATACTGTATTCTATTTCAAGCCCTCGCAGGCTGCTTATCTCTTTTCAATTTACTTCAAAAAAGGAGAAGGTACTTAATTCTACTGTTTTTTAATGTGGTAACTAGAACTTTTTGAAGGTGAACCGATTTTGATGATTATTTTTACTACTTGAATGCTGATGCTTCTTATGTGGTCCCATATAAATTAGATCTGATCAGTAGTTTTTGCTTTTTTATTAATAATATGTATTTATAGTCAATAATAATAATTATAGTCAACCAAATCTAAGAAATACATTTTGACAGCTGTCAGACTTATTGCACCAAGCATTCCAACCAAAAATTGGGAACGTACAATATTTGATTCTTAAAAAAAATATACAGTTTGGTTTTAATAATTCTAGAATAAATTGAAAACGGATAATTTAAAACCCAAGATTTATCAGTATCTTCGTATTTGTGGTTACTGTTTATTTCTAGAGGCATAGTTACAAAAATTTTAAGATTGAAACTAGACTAAATATAAATTTATTCAATCACTTTCAGTTTAATTAGTTGAGCTGTCGTTGCTTAGACTATTTATTATTTGATTTTCAATAATGCAGTCAAAATAAATGTCTTTTTCAAAGTCATCCATAATCAATATTTTAGTTTTTTTTAACCACTTTTGCCCAATCATTCCTTGTGACATGGGTATATGCTTCAACAAATATAGAAAAAACAGTTCAAAAAGTTAAAACCGAGTCACAAAATGAGAAGACAAACACAAATCACAAAATTACGCACAGTAAGTTCCCGAAGTGGCGGGTGATTGAAACTACGTAACGGGTTTTTCAGCGCGGCCATGTATATGAGGTTTCTTGCCTACACAAATTTACGTTGACAAAGTAAAAAAAAATAAACTTGTCTTATTCATGATTCATGTAATTTAAAGAATTTTAAAAATTAAAAAATAACTAAACAATTAATACATTTAAAAATGAATGATTCGATTATTTGAATATTTTTACCGATAATTTGAATATTTTTGCCGATTATTCGCATAACAATGAATTTTAGTCATCCAAACACTACGGTAAGTTACATAGCAACATATCATTGAAACGACGTCAAGTAAAAAAGTTGATACTGATTATTTTTTTTTATTTTTTGCTTTGTTTGAAAGATTAGAATAATAAATGATAAAAAACTATACACGATGTAATGAAATATAGATAACTTCATAATTCTTCGGATTTACGTAAAAGGTTATTTCAAATGGTGTGAGTACGCTTGTACAAAGTTATTGCGGACGGATTAATGTTAAACGTCAAATGGTATTTCTTAGCCGCTCGTTTGCTTCTTGCAACCACAGTTGCAAAAACAGAATTCTTAACTTTGCTCTTTGCAACTGTGGTTGCAAAGCGACGAAGTTCTTTTAATTGAATTTAGACCGTATTTTAAACGCACAGAGTCTAACTATTACGTATTAAAACCAAAAAGAAATATATAAATCATAGATTTGGATCAAAATTACCAACCTCTCGGACCAAAAATATCGAAACTTTGTTAGTTTAAGTTTAGTAAGTGAAGTGACACTTGAGTGGATTTAACGAGGTGAGAAAATATGCCGTGAGTATTGAATTTTATTAATTTTTGCTAATATTTATATACCACATTAATGTCTTATTAGTGTTTTCTTGTATTATAGTAATATTTTTGCAAATACTGGATAAAAATGTGATAAAATCGACTTTTAAAAATACTCAGAATGACGCGAATCTAAACATAATTTTCTATAGCTTACATTATCGTAATTATGTTGTTTTCTTTAAATATGAAATAGTCGTAGTGGTATTTGAATATAATTATTCAATTTAAATAATAAAGTTTATAAATGGTTCAAGATAAAAAAAATGCGAAAAAGGAGTCTAAAAAAAAAAAAAAAAAAAAAAGAGCGAAGGGTGGCTAGGCGAAAAGAACAAAGGAAAAACGGGCCAAATTAGGAGTACCCTTAACCGACGAGCATGTATGCGTAGGTGTATGGATGTGAAGGAGGCGAGAGAGGTGTGTCAGGATCGTGTCAAATGGAAGTCTGTAGTCTCTGCCTACCCCTCTGGGTGACAGGCGTGAGTGTTTATGTATGTATGTATGTATATTGTGGAAATAAAACCGCCCGGTGAGTTTTTACCTTGTCGAATTACTTTTGCCACTCTGGTTGCAAGAAGCAATTCAAGTGTTTTGGTTTAGGGTTGGCACTTGGTGGATTTTTGAGCATGAAATTTATTTTGTGTTTTTTTGCAACAAATATTGTGGTGTAAGTGTGGTGTTATGTGTGGTTTTTTAACAATAACATCTTAACTTTTTTTCGTAACCAAAATTTTTCGAACAGCGGCGGTACAGTGATACGTGGAAAAAAGTGAAGCTTTCATTTAGGTGATGGTGACAGCTGAAGAGTTTTTTACAATTCCGGTTCTTTAATTAATTTCAATGTTTTTTAATATAGTGGACAAGGTAAATGCAATATTGAAAAAGGACGAAGTAAAAGACTAGGTCGAGGCCCTGAAAAAGCATGTGAGAGCAATGATAAGCTTGTAATACCAGTTACTAGACTCCACAGAATTAGTAATTCATTTATGGGGCAATGTATACGCTTTTACAATAAAGTCCCAGAAAATGTACAAAATGTGTCATTAAACTAGTTTAAATGTTTTATTAAAGAAAAATTGTACAAAAATAGTTATTATAATATAAATAAATACATAAATGAAAATAACCCCTGGGAATTAGGTGATCGCCGCTATGCTGTTTCTATAAAAAAAATCATACAAAAATTACACAAAATAAATTTATTGTTAATTAAAATATGTTTAATAAGAGTCCCGCTGGGTTTCTTTCTGATTCTTCCCAGAACAGAGGTTTTTTTTGCGAACCAGTAGTAAATAAAAAAATGATTTTCAATAAGTATTATACAATATAGATTTATTGAATAAAAATCATTCATTTCATTTCATGACATATGGCATACTACTGTGGGGAAACGCTGCCGACATTGAATGCCTCTTTATGTTGCAGAAAAGGGCTGTTCGGACTATCTATGGTAAGTCAGTTGAGTTGATGTTGTGCCAACCCTAGCTAAAGTCGGCCGCCATCTTTACGATTCGTTCCACAAGCAATCGATCTCAGCGTTTTTGAGAACATATTTCACCAGATTTATTTTATTTTGTATTAATTGTAAATATAACATAACTTACAAGTTTCCTAATGTTTTGAAAACTTCAGGACTTTGCCCGTTTATTGTATAGGTGTAATTGATTGCGTCGTGAAATGTATTTCCAGATTTAACAATTTAAGTAGGCATTGCAAATTGGCTAAAAATACGCCACATGCTTTTAATTTATAAATTACGACATAAATTTATAGATAATCATTTATTTGTTTTTAATTATATAAAAGTAAATGAAATTTCCTTTACGAAGGTGACTATATTTTTGGTCTACGTAATCAAGTTTTTATGTAATAACAGCCTGGATTATAACTAACAAATGCGATCAATTGCGCAATCCGTGAATTCTTCATCAGGTTTCACTTAATATTTTTACTATCTTTTTAAATATAAATTGTTTTATAATATGGATAAATATATCAGATAATTCATTTAGTTTAGGTATATAATGAATAATCACACACTTATCGATCTTATTTCTCGCGTTAAAGAGTCGCTAAAATGGCTTGTACTTGTGATTTCAACACCTCTAAAATATTATTGTAATCATATTTTGATAAAATAACATAAGCAATTTCTTTCTTATTTTAATGGCTATGCTATTTAAAATTTTGAAGTGCTCCTCTTGAGTAAGTCATAAATTAAGTTTTATTGACGGCGGGTCGAACGCGCAAAACACTGTCCCGACCTACGGTAAGTAAGCTACCAATTTTTTTTACGCAAGTAATCGAGCGGTTAGATTTGGTTGACTATAATTGATTTCGATTACTTTGGTGATGCTCTTATTTTTGTATTGAAATCTATTTAATAGATTTTTTTTTAAGTTTAGCATTTGTTAGTGTCGGTTTTTCGTTTTATCGGGTTTCTAATCACAACGATTCTAAATAAGTTTTCACTACAAAATATAACCAATATATCAGAAAGAAACATCAATTTCCTATCAAATGACTTGCCCTGCCGTGAAATCTTTCAAATATTGCTCGCCTCACAACGTGAGGGGAGTGCTCTATTCACAATATGTAGTCATACCTCAATTTCGCTTCATAAAATCGTTCTCATACTTTTACTTAGACATTGAACCCATATAATTATTAACGTTACAATGACTACAGACATTGAATTATAAGATTCGTTTATTTTGTAATTGATTCACTTTAGATTACATAAGACTCCGTATGTTCTAAAGTTTTCTTGTTTCTGAACTAAATGTTATTAATGAAAGTTGATCAGACTCTCTGCTTATTTTCTTGTAAAAATTATCGATACTATTTTCATCTCTTTTCATATAATTTTAACATAATATACATTTTAATTGTAAAATTTTAGTGCACAAAGGAAATTTTTATTGTTGTCAAAGATTTAAATAGTATAACAGTGGTTTATATAATATCTGAAATTAACTACGAGACATAAATAATTTCAAGATTGTGACATAATATGCCAAATGTAACAAAACAATTTGCAACAAAGTATTTCTGAAATATTATATATTTGATTGACTGATGAAGAGCTATCGTATCGCAAAGCCATATAAGAGTTTGTCGGGATATTTTTCATATTTGCGCATGGGGATTTTGTTTTTGTTCCCACTACAGTGCCTGTTCAGTATTTGAAAATTTCTAGTCCGCGCATGATAACTTCAAGACACGGTTGCTAAGGCCGCCATCGTTTACTCTACCGACGCCATACGTCTGTGGATCTCTTACACTGCAGCTTCCAATTGCAGAACCGTCCTGTGACGCACCTACGTAACGACGCATGCGTCTTGTTACCAAAACAAGCAGCCTTCATATTTTGACTTTGACTTTTTTATATCTTCAGTGTAATTGTTAAGTTACTTTATTGTGTTTTTTTTTTAATTTGTTTTAAGTTATTCTTTTTTGTTATTGTATTTAACTGTTGTGAATGCAGTCCGTAACCCAATCTAGTGATGACACGGCAAACGCGACACTTATATGTACACAGTGCAACAAGTCATTCAAATCTTTAAAAGGCCTCAACATACACACTACAAAAACACACAGGAAATGTATTAGCCAAAACAGTTCACCTTTAGACATACACCCTTTTATTCCAAATACGCCTACTTTTGCAGCCAACTTTCCAACTCCATTCCACACATATCTTAGCCATTTGAAAAATAGTATACCGACAGTTAAAAGAATCCCTCGAGGAGCTCGAATAACCGTTGCTACACATTTGTCACAATTAATCCAGAAATGTTACATAAGCAATTGTACTCAAGACTGGCAGAACCTATTTTTATTTTCATACAGCACACTACATATAACAAAAACTGATAAACCAAATTTATCCTTGACACAAAAGATTAAAAATAACTGTACTGTCAGCTCCTCACCTTCTCCCGCACCTCTAATCAAACATGATGCCACTCGTAATCGCAACAAACTAATCGAAAACAAAATCTGTGACGGAGATCTCAAAGGTGCCGCTCGCCTTTTGTTCTCCAACGAGGTGCTTTCACCAGATACCCCTGACACCCTTCAGGCCTTACGGTCAAAACATCCTCTAGCTCCAGTAAACCCATATTTTCTCGACCGACCAACAGTAGGGCAAGCATGCCTTCAAATTCAAAACAAAGATGTTACGGATGCCATTTTATCTTTTAAACCAGGTTCGGCTGCAGGTTTGGATGGAATCTCACCGCAACATTTGAAAGACTTAACATCGCATTCTGTGGGTGATGCAGGTGAGCAACTTGTAAATTCGATCACTAAATTAATTAACTTTATGTATTCCGGTAATGTCAATCCAGAAATTGTTCCAATTCTTTTCGGCGCGAACCTCATTGCTCTCACCAAAAAGGACGGAGGGGTGAGACCAATTGCTGTTGGATCAACACTACGACGCCTGGCCTCCAAAATTGCTGTTCGACATATTTTACAGAAATTAAATTCGGAATTTGAACCCGTACAGTTAGGCTTCGGTGTAAAAGGAGGGTGTGAGGCAGCCGTCCATGCCCTACGTTCTTTCCTAACATATGGACATCCTGACGTGTTGCTCAAAATTGATGTCAAAAATGCTTTCAATTCGGTAAATAGGGGGACCCTACTGACCGAAATAAATCAACATATACCCGAAATATACAATTATCTTCTTCTCAGTTACGCTGACCCAACAAAATTGTTATATCGGTCTAATGAATTATCCTCGGAAGTAGGTTGTCAACAAGGTGATCCCCTTGGACCAGCAATTTTTAGTTTGGCTATAAATCCCATAATCAAAAGTTTAAATTCTAAATTCAATATTTGGTATCTGGATGACGGAACCTTAGGAGGTGATATGGAAACTGTATTTTCTGACCTTTTTTTCAATCAAAAATAAATTTGAAGCCATTGGTTTGGAGCTTAACTTTAGCAAATGCGAACTTTTTATAAATAACTGCAACTTAAATTTAAATGACGTAAAACACAAATTTAATACTTTGGCACCAAATATTAAAATAGTTAACAGTAATTCCCTTTACCTTTTAGGTTCTCCAATTTTTAACGAATCTATGTCTGAATATATTAATAATTCAATTGCTAAATTTCAAAATTCTGCTGACCGTCTCCTTGAAATTAGTCCACATTATGCACTTTGCATTTTAAAATCTTGCCTTTTTGTCCCGAAATTTACGTATGTGCTCCGTTGCTGCTCCTTTTGGAATCACCCAGACCTCTTGACACAAGTGGACAACTTAATCAAAATTAGCTTAGAATCGATTCTTAATATACACATGAACGAGCAATCTTGGACCCAAGCCTCCCTACCCATCCGTTATGGTGGTTTAGGAATTCGCAAAATTTCCAGTGTCTCTTTACCAGCCTTCCTATCTTCTGTCTATAGTTCAGCAAATCTCATAAGTAAAATTTTAAGGGCATCCCCTTCAAACTTTGAGATTGCTGGCCTGGAAGAAGCTAGAAACGCTTTCTTAATTGCATGCCCTGGTCAAAATTTTCAATTTCCTCTAAATTCACAGAGGAGCTGGGACGACATAAACTGCAAATTGACTTATGACAATCTTTTGAGCTTTAGTACAGGTTCGGCGCGTGCTAGGCTTTTGGCCGTGGGTACGCATGAGGCCGGCTACTGGCTTCACGCGTATCCTTCGTCAAATACAGGAACATTTCTTGAGCCTGACACGCTCCGAATCGCAACCTGTCTACGGCTTGGAGTTCCGGTCTGCGCTCCTCATAAATGTCCGTGTGGTAGTGACGTCGACAAGCTAGGATATCACGGGCTATCATGCCAAAAAAGTGCAGGTCGCTTCTCGAGACATGCAGCTCTTAACGATATCATACGCCGGTCTCTTGCCACCGTCAACGTGCCAAGTCTACTTGAGCCGTCTGGTATTGCAAGAGACGATGGCAAGAGACCGGACGGTATGAGTTTGATTCCATGGAGGATGGGCCGGGTGCTGGTATGGGATGCAACCTGTTCAGACACGCTGGCCCCTTCCCATCTACGTGGAACCAACAACAGAGCTGGTGCGGCTTGTGAAGCGGCAGAAAAGGCTAAAGTTTGCAAATACAGGGGTCTAGGCTCCGAATATATTTTTGTCCCTTTCGGTGTCGAGACCCTTGGTCCGTGGGGTCCTAGCGCTATAAGCCTTTTTAAGGAAATAGCAAAAAGGTTAATCGACGTCACAGGAGACCGAAGAGCTGGCAGTTACCTCGGACAAAGAATTAGTCTAGCTATTCAACGGGGAAACGCTGCCAGTATCTTCGGAACCTTGCCTAAAGGACCTCTTTTTTAATAATTTAATTTAGTTATTATAATATATATTTTTAAGGTTTTTAGTATTAGTATTAATTGTAAATATTATAATTTAATTTCATTAATTATACTTATATTTATTTAAATGTTAATACCATTTAAGTATATTATAAAAATAAAGACATAATAAAGTGACGTGTGCACTTTTGGATTTTCATAATACTTAAGGTTACTGTTAAGTGGCGGCGCTGCTCACCTTGTCGGCGTACTCCTTGAGCGCGGGCAGCGGCAGCACGTGCGGCGGGAGCGCGAACAGCGCCGCCGCGCACGCGTGCAGGCGGCACTGCTGCGCCGTCGACAGCACCGGGTTGCTTATTGCGGACTGCTGGATGCTGGGGACACACACCACGTACGTATTTATTAACCTTCCACAGCTGACGAGAAAAAATAATAACATCATACGTCATAGTTCGTTTTCGGTGTCGATCACTTAACTTAACCGAAAGCTTGAAGATAGCCGCAAATAACCGTGTAGTTGCTTTGTGAAGACTTCGTAAGGGAATCTATAACCATATCTAGATCTGTAGAAGACCTTAGATTCGACTTTTTTCCATTAAGCACACAATCCACCGATGATGGTAACTGGATGCTGAATTCCATAGACATCTACACTTCTCTTCGATTAAGAATCAAAATGCAGATGCATTATCATCCCTGAAAAGTTAGATCAAATGCCTCGTTACCAGTAAATAAAATCTCTAAATGAACATCTAAAATATGATATTATAACTACTAATATATGGCTAGTGTTGCCCAAAATCGGTCTTGGTCTTGCAGTCTTAGACCAAGAACAAGACCGCCTAATTTTAGCAAGACCAAGACCAAGACTGACCGTGTAAGATTTGAGCAAGAACAAGACTAAGCCTGCGAGACTCTTGCGTCTTGCTGTTAGGAATGAGTGTCGTTTCAGGGAGTATTGGACAGGGATTCAGGGAGTTCGGGTATACGCTTAGGGACTCTATGAGACGCAAAAAATATATAAAAAAAAATGGAAAATTGGATTTATGCGCATTACGAACAATACCATAAACATACATAGCGGATGAAAATATCCATTAAAAGAAAAAACAGTGCATCCCTAGTTTTGACCATCGGCACTTTGATAGGGCGCGGCGTCTTGTTGTCGGCATCATCAAATGTCGAATACTGACCTGTCAAAGAAATTTTGCAGCTATTCGGAAGTACAAGGTCAAGATACACGCGCCGGCGGCTTCTATTGATATCGCATTCAATCGTCGCCGGCGCGCCTCACGCACTACATTTGACACTGTTTGAATGCCTCCACAGAGTACATGTTCCAAAGAATAAAATAAGTTTCCGGGTGCTCGGAATGGACACGAATACATTATGCTGATCTCGCAAGGAATATTGTAATTAGATAATGGTAAGGATAGGTAGATACCATAATAATTTATTCTAGTAAGTAATTATTATATTTGGTCTTCAAAAAACCAACCACCCCAACAATATAAGGGGAATCTACCTAAAATAAGATAAAGTATTCATACTAACTTCATCATTTTTAACATGAAGTTATCATGTCATTATATTACTAAAACTAATTGCACAAAAAACTTATAAACTCTACTTAACTCAGCCGCTTCTAGCGCTTTTTTCTGCCAAACGCACCCATTAACTATATGGGTTTATAATAATTACTTACTATTATTATTATTACCTAATAGATAAACATGTTCAATAAGTTCACTGCAAATCTCGATTTTTGGAAGTGTGTGTTTTTGAACACAAAGTGTTCGAATATGTCGTCACCCATTTGATAAATATTGTAGACACTTTTAACACACTTGAAACGTGTAAACATTTTGTACAATGCTAATCGAATAATATAAAAAGTGTGCATATTAAATAAAAAGCGTAAAATAAGATCTATGTGCTTTTTAGGAGCCCGAGTATCTCTTAGAGAACCGTTTAAAGAAATTGATTGCATCGATGTAAATAATAGTGAATTGCACAATTTTAATAGGAGAAATAAAAATAAAATCACAATACCTGCTTTCCGGTTACACAAAGTATATAATGCGTTCTTGGGTAGCGATATACGCTTTTATAATAAGATTCCAAAAGAAATGTTAGATCTTTAACCTTTTCAATTTAAGTCAGACAAAAATGCTTGGAACTGACCTCTCGTACTACACAGGACTAACTAGAAATTTCTAAACCGATTTGATATCTACATATACATTTGAGATTTTATGTTTGACTTATCGCTTTACATAATTATAGAACTATTGTAAAAATATTTTGAAAAGAGCAACTACTGAGTTTCTTAATTTCTTCCATGATTCTTCTCAGTAGAATCAGAACCCCTGGACATGGAAAGGAAAAAATTGGGGAAAACAGTGATTATATGACTATTCAAAAGTGTATTTTTAATACCTACATGAATAAAACATAAGAGTGAAGGCAAATTAAATTTAATTATCGTAGATTAATTCAATCCTAAGAAGAACATAATATACACAATTTTATTTACATATTTACATTTCATTTTTACGTAGGCACACTATACCTATCTGGCAACGCATCTACTTTATTAATCTTTTGAAGAATCATTAATTTTATCAAAGGATGCCGAACTTTCCTTTGTCGGTCTTTCGGCGTGTACTTACAAATAGTAGTATTTATTTTAATTCCAGTCATTCCCAATTGAGCTTTGCTTCGAGTCTAATCGAGTCTAATGTATTAATTGTTTTTACTCTAATCCTTGTTTGACATGAGTGACGAAGAGTCGAATAGTTCTAGTCGGAGTAGTGAGAGTTGGAGTTATAGATCTAAAAGACCTAAAAGTAAATTTGATGAGTTTTTCGACATAATTCATGTATCCCAAATTGCTTTGTGTAAATAATGCCAACATAAAAAGGTTGAAATAAAAATGAAAAACAGAAACACTTCAGGCTTAAGGAAGCATCTAATATCTTTCCACAAAAGGAATCACAAATATTTCTTCCTGAAAAACCAAAATTAAGTGGAGATATCACAAGCTTTTTAATAACCGCCGGAAAAAGTGGACAGGTAAGAAAAAATATACTTATCACACAATTACATAACACATATATTATGTAACTAGCGGCCGCCTACGACTTCGTCCGCGTACATTATCTGATTTCCTATGAGATTTTGAAATTTTCTCGCTGCAAAAGTCTTACCTAAGTATAAAGAGGCTATATAGGTAAAGCTTAACTATGCAAGTATTATTATTTAAAACTAATAAAGTAAATGTCGATCTTCATATCTATACTTTAAAAATATAGGACTTGCATGTAACCATTTTACCCGAATTTCACCCTCTTAGGGTTAGGATTTCGTAAAACAGCTTATTAAGGATTTTATTATTGAAAACTTATAACTTTAATGCCGATTTTCGTGTCTCTAACTTCAATTTTTCCTCCCTTAGGGACAGATTTTCTCAAAACCGTTTCTTAACTGATCTCTATGCCATAAAAGGAACCTACCTTACAAACTTCAAGTTTGCATGTTTTATAGTTCCTGAGATATCGTTATAGTCAGTCAGATATATATAATAAAAAAAAAAAAAATGTATAGATTATAGTGTTGAATATATGTATTTATAATTCACTCATATTTTCATTTGTTTTTGTAATCGGCGAGACACACGATTTACTGTTTTATTTCAGTCTGAAAATAGCAGTGACAACATCACGACAGCTACAGTATATTGGATGGTTAAAAAATATCTTCCCTTCTCATTTTTCGATGACGAATGATTTTCAAATCACAGATAGTGAATGGCAAATACTCGAAAAAATATATAGTTTCTAATAAACTTTAAACTTCTATCAACGAAACTTAGTGGAGAAAAATATGTTACATTACCGCTAGTCAATTGTATCATTCAATCTCTTGCTCGATAAAATTGAATCCATGGTAAAACAATTAGATGAGAAACCTAATCGATCCGAAGTGGATGAAAGGCTCATTCTGGGTTTTCAAGCAGCTCGAGACAAAATGCTTAAACATTATAAAAAGAGCAACTAGATTTATTGTACCTCTTTAATTTTAGACCCAAGGCATAAGACTCAGACTTTTGACATGACATTATGGGGGGAAGTAAATTAAAACAGAAAGCCTGCGCAAATTTAATGAACTTTATAAAGAATATAAAAGTCTACACTCATACATCTATAGAATCACCAAGAAATTAAAAGAAAGTATGTGAATATGATGAAGATGAAGACGAAATAATACTTTGAGAAATTGTATGCATATCCCTCGACATCAGTAGACTTTTATACAAAATAGATAACCGAGCAGACCAAAAAGGTTTTAAAAAAAAAAAAAAAAAGAGTATTAATTCTTGGTCAAAAGAATTAATATAAAGTAACAGTAATGTTAAAGCTGTTGTGTACTGTTATGTAATTTAATTTGTATTGTATTTTATTTTATTTTAATTTAAATAAATGGTAAATTGTATAACTCTTTTATTCCATTTCATATAAGGGTCTATCAATCTCTTTCTAGACAGATAATGTTCTTTATAATACAGTCAAGTTAATGTCATTACATAATACATAAGCACTCACGCCTGCCACCCAGAGGGGTAGGCAGAGACTACAGACTTCCATTTGGCACGATCCTGACACACCTCTCTCGCCTCCTTCAGATCCATACACCTACGCATACATGCTCGTCGGTTAAGGGTACTCCTAATTTGGCCCGTTTTCAATAAATCGCCAATTTGGTCGATAAATTTTCGCCTAGGACGTCCCTTTCCGACTCTGCCATTCACTTCTACAACATAAATTTTCTTTGTCACTCTTTCCTCATTCATTCCTTCCACATGACCAAACCACCGAAGCATTCCTTTCTTAATCCTGGTCACAACATCATCTTGCAAACCACACTCTTCTCTTATTACACAATTTCTTACCCTGTCGTTCAGATTCAGACATAACATACTCCTTAACGACCGCATTTCTACTGCGTTGATTCTACTCTCGTGCTTCTTCTGCCACACCCAACTTTCACTACCATACGTTAAAGTAGGGACCAACACAGCATTGTGAATTGCCATGCGTGCCTTTTTTCGACACATTTTGACTCTTCACAATAGATTGCAGGGCCCCATTTACTCTATTTCCCGCATTCACTCGTCGTTCTATATCTTTATCATATCTCCCATCCCTGCTAAATACGCAGCCCAAATATACAAACTCATCTACTTGCTCGATCAACTCCCCTTCTATTCTTATTTCACAAATCGTTTTACTTTCTTCTCTTTCAAAAACCATAACCTTCGTCTTACTTGCGTTCACTATCATACCCCTTCCTTTTAATGATCTGTTCGTTAATG